ATGGAGATGGTGTACGAAAATTCCTAAATGGTACTAAATTTAGGTGAAGAAATAGGGCTGGAATACTCAAATTTAATATTGGGATGTCTGTTGTTACCTGGATTTGCTATATAAAGGTTGTTCTGGAAATGTATAACATAATTGTACGAAAAGTTCTAAATAGTACTATATTTGGTGCAATTTGGTGCTTGAAATCTGAAATTTGGTATAATGTTCGCTGTTCATGTGTAGAATGGACATATGGAGGTGGTTTCCGAAATGTGTACTATAATTGCTCGAAAAGTACTAAATGATACTAAATTGGGTAGTGGGTGAATGCACAGAGCTGAAATCCCCAAATTTAATAATTAGAATACTGATAGTGTCTGTGTTTGAAATTTGAGATTTGGCGGCGATTTGGAAATGCGTCCTTTATTTGTACAAAAAGTACTAAATGGTACTAAATTTTGTATTGGGTGAGAGTTAGAGATATGGCGGTGGTTTGGAAATATTTACTGTAATTGTACGAAAAGTACTAAGTAGTACTACATTGGGTGAAGGTATAGAGCTGAAATCATGACATTTTATACCGTGACAATTGTTGGTGTCTAGTATTGAGATATGGAACGGTTTTGCAAATGAGTATTACAATTATACGAAAAGTACTAAATGTTACTAAAATTTGGTACTGAGTGAATGTATAGAGCTGATATCCCGAAATTTGATATTGAGGTCTCTGTTCGTATCTGGTGTTGAAATATGGTGGTGTTTTTGGAAATGTGCATTATAACTGTTTGAAAATTGGAGTAGTTCTGAAACCATGAAAATTTCTCTAGGATTGAGTTATGGAACGATTTTCCCAAAGTTATGCCAAAAGTACTACATGTTACAAAATTGGTTATTCAGAGTTGGGATTCACAAATGTAATATAGAGGTTTCTCTTGATATCTGAAATTAAGGTATGGAGGTGGTTTCGGAAAAGTGTAAAATATTTGACGAAAAGTACTAAATGATACCAATTTTGGATCACTGTTGGTGTCTAGGATGGTGAGATGTAGATTGCTTATGCGTACTAAATGGGATAAATGTTACCAAGTGGAAAAGGGATAAATGTAAAATAATTTAAAAATCCAGGTTTATTGTTGCGATGGTCCTTGAAAAAATATTCTTTAAAATCCATGTTTAAATGACTCTTGGGCCTTGAAAAAAATATACTTTAAAGAAAACATTAAAAAAACAAACATAAAGTTCTGCTGGGCCGAACTTTTAATATCCTCCCCCATAGGATAAAAGAAACATTTGTATATAAAAGTACCTGATTTCAAGTATGTTTCACTACAAACTTCATACTCCAGTAAGAACGTTTGGATAATGCAGTTAAACTTATCAAAAAACCATAAAGTGAATAAGGCCGTTATATGGGGCATTACCAAAATGGGAACCTCTATAGGCAATTTTCTACTTCAAGGAGTGTCATCTATCAAATCTTCTAAACTTTTAAACAATTATGTGCGTAAATGTGACCAAATATCGGTGGGTATCGTTATATGTGCGCTATAGGAAAACGTGGAACTAAATATTCAATGTTCCGCCACCGAGCTAGAACTTATTATAAACCACAAACAGCAATTTTTAGACAAATCCGTGGCAAAATGTTGCAAAAACCATCAATGTATCGAATATTAGGTACCGTATACCGTTATATAAGGGCTATACCAGAACATGAACCCATAAATTCAATGTTTCGCCAAACGAATACCGTTATATGAGGGCTATACCAGAACATGAACCCATAAATTCAATGTTTCTCCAAACGAGCTAGAAGTCATTACAAACTATTCGTGATGGAATTCAAGCGTGATAGTGTTATTTCTTTATATTTGGCTGGAAAACCACAAGTGGCTATCGTTAGAGCACTCCAGCATTTAAATGTGAATAAATCTTTTGTGTCTCGTACCATCGCTGGTTACCGTGATACTGGCAGCGTAGCCCGACGTCAAGGAAGTGGACGGAAGAAAACAGCAACATCAACAGAAATGGTTCGAAAAGTAAAGTAGCGACTTGATGGAAACCCGCTTCGCAGTGACCGAAAAATGACTCGTGAGCTGAACATATCGCAATATTCCATTCGGCAAATATTGAAAAATGAGCTCGGGGTAAAGTCATTGAAATTCCAAAAAGTGCAAGAACTTACTTTGCAACGGAAAGAAAATAGACGCAATAGAGCTAAAGAGTTGCTTCGCTTGGCCGAAAGTGGTGAACTGTCGAATTTGGTCTCCAATGACAAAACATTCGTTGTCCAGCTGTTTGTAAACAAACAAAATTATCGTGTTTACTTGCCAAAGAGGACAGCTGAAAATGTGCTCCTTCGGTTGGCCACCAGAACTCAAGCGCCGACCAGCCGATGGTCGCTCCACGCTCGTATAAATCGACCGTGACATCAGAATAAATGCCGAAAATTCTGGAGGGTGTATTAAATTTCATTGAATGAAAGCAAAAAATGTCAGATATAGCACCAAATTTTAGAATAAGTTTAGATTTGTTCGAATTGGTCACCTTTGGCACGAATTATGACCTTCAAACGGCCAATGAAACATCACACGCTGCCCGAATGTTGCTCTGTAGTAGTTTGGCCCATTCCCGGCAAAGCGCTTGCTTGAGGTCACTTTGGTATTCTTTAGTGCCAACCCTGCTTCCCAAATTACTCCAGAAACAATAGGCCAATGGATTGATATCCGGAGATGGCCATTGTGCGCTGGAAATGAAGCGAGGAACCTTATTTTGTAACCATTCTTGGGTGGCGCGTGCTGAGTGAGATGGTGCTGAGTCCTGTTGTTCCCAAGGCTTTAATACACCCTCCAGAATATTTTCGCGATAATATTCGGAATTTATTTTGATGCCACGAACGATTAATACGAGCGGAGGGCGTCCATCGGCTGTTATGGCGGCCCACTCCATCACCATGGCCGGCGCTTGATTTCTGTTGGCCAACCGAAGGTGCACATTTTCAGCTGACCTCTTTGGCAAGTTTGTTTACAAACTGCTGGACAACGAATGTTTTTTCATCGGAGAAAACCCAAAATCGGCAGTTCACCACTTTCGGCAAGGGAAGCAACTCCTTAGCTCTTTTAAATCTATTTTCTTTCTGTTGCGGTGTAAGTTCTTGCACTTTTTGGAATTTCAATGACTTAACCCGGAGCTCGTTTTTCAATATTTGCCGAATGGAATATTGTGATATGTTCAGCTCAACTGCGACTCGGGTTTCGATCAAGTCGCTTCTTTACTTTTCGAACCATTTCTGCTGATGTTGCTGTTTTCTTCCCTCCATTTCATTGACGTCGGGCTACGCTACCAGTATCACGTAATCGGTAACGAGCGATGGTACGAGACACAAAAGATTTATTCACATATAAATGCTGGTTGAAGGTTTTTTATCTCACCTGCATTGTTGGGATGGTGCCTGAAAAAATATTATTTAAAAAATCCACTTTCATTGGTGCGGTGGTCTTTGAAAAATATTCTTTAAAAATTCACGTTTATTGCAGCGGTGGTCCTTGAAAAATATTCTTGAAAAATTCACGTTTATTGCAGCGGTGGTCCTTGACAAATATTCTTTTAAAAATCCACGTTTATTGCAGCGGTGGTCCTCGACAAATATCCTTGACAAATATTCTTAAAAAAATCGGTGGTGGTGGGGTGGTCCTTGAAAATATTCTTTAAAAATCCACGTTTATTTTTGCAGTGGTCCTTAAAAAATACTCTATAAATATTCAAGTGTATTGGACCTTGAAAATATATTCATTAAAAATCCACGTTTATTGGTCCTTGAAAAAATATTTTTTTAAAAATCTACTTTTGGATGGTCCTTGATATTGTATGGCTATGAGTAAGCCATTTGACACTGTTTGTACTTTTTAGTAAAACTTTTTTCTCAGAGCTATTTTTTCCCAACTCACACATCGACTTCAATAAAATTGTTCACAAAAAATAAATCGAACTAATATCACACATTGCTTTGATGCCATTTCATTTGGATTCTTTTATAAAACGGATAAAGGTTTTTTCGACACCGATGAAATCCCATTTAATAAGCAATCCCCCCTTTCGGAATAAAATATCCAAATGCCAAGTTTATGTTCAAACATGTCCCCCCCCCAAACCAATTGTTGGTCACTCACAACCCTACCTACACACACACACTCACATGCATTTGCCACAACTAACTGCACATTGCTGACAGCTTTCTCAGCTAATCTAATCTAATAATGACTGGCATTTGGAGTTCTTTAGTCTAATCCCAACTGACCAAATATAATTCGGAAGCTAAGCACCATTTCACTTTGGCTGGTAACAAAGTATTCGGAATTTGCTTGCAACCAAAGGCCACACATACACACATACACTTGGACAAATGAAAACTAATTCGGCTAACAGGATCTCAAGCGACACAGTTTCCCAAAATATCTGATGTGGCTGGGTGTGTGTGTGTTTAAAAACAAGTGGGATGAGAATGACATAAAGCTATTTTGTAACCAGGAAACGTGTGGACAGGATATCCGCTGACCAACAATGGAGTATGTTTTGCAGTTACTGGTGCGCCCCCTACCCCCTTCTTTATTTGTTGACGGCACATTGAACATTTCAAACGTGTTTGTGTTTTTGTCGTTCTCTTTCCAGTTCGTCAGCAGTTTTATTGGAAACTTTTGCCTAGTCAAAATCTCGGTTGATTTTTGTGCTTCCATCTCTGTTTTTTTTTCCTACCATGGGAAACCTTGCCATCTAAATTGCCTGCAAGCAATTCACAGTAGAATGTATGTTACTGAGGGGTGGAGAGGGGTTGCCATAAAAAAACCGACACAAAAATAATATTTAGTTTTTCATTGATGATTTTTCGTTTAATTTTTGTTATCTATTGCCGACATACCATACCAGCAGTTTTCCATTCTTTCCTTTCTTTTTTTCTATTTTCCTACAAAACTGACATTCAATTTTTTTCTCTTCCTCTCCTTTTGCTTTGCCAGGTTACTTTGGATAGCTTTACAATTGGACGCTTCACTTCATACACCCAGGATGGCTGCCCGGATGGCTATATGCAAATAGCCGAATCTGCCCGCACACCCATCGGTGGCATGTGGTGCGGCACCTCGTGGGGACCAGTTCTATTCTATAGTGAATCTCGTTCGTTGATTTTCACAATCAAACTAAATAAGTGAGTATTAACTATTTTTGGATTTTTTTGTTCCTTTGTTTTTTTTTTTTTTTTTTGTTCAGCTGTTGTTGTTATTAACATTCTCCATGGACAAAAGCTATTTTGGAGGGAGTTGAAAAAATGTTCGTTTTTTTTTTTTTTTTTTTGTTCCTGTTATTGTTTTCAAATTGTGAAAAGGGAAAAGTTGCACGTGAAACCCAGCAAACAAATGTAGAAGAATTTTGAAGTGAAGAGGTCTTCTCTCTACAGAAGACCTGTAAGAGGTCTTCTCTCTGTAAAAGACCTTTAAGAGGTCTTCTATCTGTAAGAGGTCTTCTCTCTATAGAAGATCTGTAAAAGGTCTTCTCTCTATAGAAGATCATTAACAGGTCTTCTAACTATAGAATACCTGCAAGAGGCCTTCTCTCTGTAGAATAAATGCAAGAGGTTTTCTATATATCTATAGAAGACCTATAAGAGAGCTTCTATCTATAGAAGACCCGTAAGAGGTCTTTTCTCTGTAGAAAACCTTTAAGAGGTCTTCTCTCTGTAGAAGACATTTAAGAGCGTTTCCCTCTGTAGAGGACCTTTAACAGCTCTTCTCTCTGTAGAAGACCTGTTAGAGGTCTTCTGTCTGCAGAAGACCTGTAAGAGATCTTCTGTCTGCAGAACACCTTTAATAAGCTTTTGCTCCGTAGAAGGTCTTCTATCTGTTTAAGACCTGAATGAAGTTTTTTCCATTGAAGACCTGTAAAAGGTCTTCCATCTGTGGAAGACCTCTAAATTGTCTTCCATCTGCAGAATCTATCTTCAAAAGAAGAGAAAATTCCCTTTCTTTGTCTAAGACCTGTAAAAGGCGGTCTATCTGTATAAGAACTGAAGGAAGAACTATCCATAGAAGACTCTAAGAATGTCTTCTATCTACAGAAGACCCGTTAAAGATCCGCTATCTGTAGAAGATTTGTTAAAGGTCTAACAAATTATTTGCTGGTTTTCAGTTCGGCTGAATCCTAATAAACTCCCATTTTAACTGTAACTCTCCAACACATAACATCCCCGTAGAATACACATACTCTCTCATCCCTTTAGACCACCCCCAACAACTTTATACAAAACATCACCTTGTGATGTTATTTTTGTTTTGTTTTTTTTTTTCTCCATTGCTTTTGTTTTCAACAGCTGAACTTTTAATGAAAATTTTTTTCTCTGTGTAATGTTGTCTCATAACTTTTTCGTTTCGTTTTTAATTTTTTTCTCGTTTTTCGAACAATTTTCAGATTAGCACGTGATCAAAGTGGTTATAATTTCGACTTTCGTATACGTTACAAAATGCTATCCCGTGACAGTTCCGTTACACGTTATGGTGGAATAAAAGTTGAAGGTATGTGCCAAGAGCGAAAAACGAACAAAACAAAGGCAACTCTCAGATCATATAGCTTGCTGAATATTGAAGTTGCTTTGTTTTAGTTCAGTTCAAACTTGTAGTCATAATGCACGTACTAAAATAAGTTGGTAAAACCAAATGGTAAGGGGGGAGATGGTGGGACAAAAAGTTGTTTGGCAAAAATATATAGACAAGCAATGGCAAAAGGAAGATGGAACAATTTGAATTAACATTGGTCACCGTTGGGAGTTTTTTCTTTATCCTGATGGTATAAAAATCTAAAATGATGAAGGTACTGCATTTATATATCGATAAATAGCCATTTTTTCTACATAAGGCAAATAGAAAGCTTGCTATCTACAGAAGATCACCAGAAGAGACCTTTTTTTCGCACAACAAAAAAAAAAAGAAAACAACGTGACAGTAATCCGATAATAATAATAAATAAGTAAAAAAGCAGTAAGTTCGGCCGGGCCGAACTTTGAATACCCTCCACCATTTGGAATATCTAATTTATCTTAAAAATATCTAATATATCTTTAAAATATCTATCCCCCCGATATATGGGGGGATATATGATATTGTGGATCTTTTAAGACAAATCAATGCCTGGGTGTTTAAATACTCACAAGGAACTCCTTGTGTGGATTTTCAATTAATTCCGTTGAAAAATGTGGGTAAAATCATCAAAACGGGATACCGTTATATGGGTGATATACGATATCGTTAACCTATGTACAAAATTCTCTGTCGGTGGGTAAAGTGCTCACAAAGAACTCCTTGTGTACAGTTTCGGACCATTCCGGCTATATGATATCGTGGACCTATATAGATAATTCTCTGCCGAGGTATGAAGTACCCACAAGGAACTCCTCAGACAATTTCATTAGAAAAATGTGGGTAAAATCATCAAAATACCGAATATCGGGGAGTACCATTATATGGGGGATATTCGATATCGTGGACTATATATCTGTGCAAAAATTTAGCTTCTTATCTTAATTCGTTTAGACTGTAGCGTGATTACAACATACGGACAGATGGAGAGGACTAAATCGTCTTAGAATTTTACGCTGATCAAGAATATATATACTTTGTTGGGTCTACAAATTATTATTTCGATGAGTTACAAACAGAATGACGAACTTAATATACCCTCCATACTATGTATGGTGGAGGGTATAACAAGTTAAAAAACAGTAAGTTCGGCCGGGCCGATCTTTGGATACCCTCCACCATTTGGAACGAATTTGGAAATTTTCAAAAAATATTTTTTTTTAAAAATTCTGTTAAAATTTTAAAAATACCAAATATAGCCATCATATTGGGGTCAATACGACGTGGACCTACATATGCATCGTTTTCATAAGCCATTACCATATTCAAATTCGAAACTTGAAATAAACGGTGAATAATGTAGCTAAATTCATCAAAATATCGTATATAGGAGCTGTGCACCTGCATATATCGGAGCTGTGCACCTGCATAGACAATTTTCTGTCACAGGCTGTAGCATCCATTACGAACTTCAAATACCCCATCTCAAACAATTTCGATGGGTATTGTACCTAAAATCGTCAAAATACGGAATGTAGGGAGGTACTGATATATGGGGCCTATACGAAGACCTGGACCTGGACTAGTCAATTTTCTGTCACAGACTGTAGTTCTCATAACGAACTCCAAATACGTAATTTGAAATAATTCTGGTGAATAATGACGCTAAAATAATCATACCATTATATGGGGGCTATAAGAAGACGTGGACCTGCACAAACAATTTTCTGTCTTAGGGTGTAGAATCCATTTCGAACATCAAATATTAAATTTGAAACAATTCCGGTGAATAATGTCGCTAAAATCATAAAAAAATACCGAATATCGGGAGGTACAGTTATATGAGGGCTATATGAAAACGTGGACCTACATGGCCCTTACTGGAAAAATTAACATGTGTGCAAAATTTTAGCCATCTATCTCAATTCATTCGAAAGATAGCGTGATTACACCAGACAGACGGACAGACAGACGGACATCGCTTAATCGACTTAGAATTTTACGCTGATCAGGAATATATATACTTTGTAGGGTCTGGCATGAGTATTTCGAGGAGTTACAAACGGAATGCCAAAGTTAGCAATACTATGGAGTATGAAAGTAAAATCAAAAATTTTAGGTAAAAAAAAATTTTGGTAACCCAAATAGGGCAGAAAATTTTTGCCCACTTTTAACTATTTCGAAAAAATAAGGATTCCTTGAAATCCTTGCATTTTGCGCGAATGCAGTGTCTTTGGCAATGTTATTGAGATAAAATATCCCTATATCGAGTCATTAAGAGCGCTTTTAGATAGTTTTCTTTAAAAACTTTCGAAAACTCCGTTAAAAGCGATTGTATCGGATCGAAATATTCTACACAATTTTTCGTCACAAAATACTACTGTTGGTCTCAAAATACACCAAAACTAGACCAGAGTTAGTCCATTACTGATGGACTTGGATTCCTCAGACAACATTTTACGAAATACCCCCTCTATAGTTTCATGGCTGATCCAAGATCTACGTTTTCCCTTCTTTAACTCACGTTTGTACTTATTAAAGTCTGCCAATTAGTGTTAAGCTTAGTTCTGCTTATCCTGTTACAAGACCTCTTTGTTATGTACCGAAGAACGGACTGGTTCCTTAGTCGACCATGCTGGCTGGGATTTCCTTCCAGGTTATATTATTGGACAAGATCTGTCATAGCTCGAGAGGAAGACACACGTGACAACATTCGCTGTTTGTTCCGCATCATTGGATGATTTCAGACCTCAATTATTAAGGGATTTGAATGTACCCCAGTTTGTCCTTCATGGGTCCCTATAAGATCTTTACCTGTCACCGCATTTTGCTACCTAAAGGAATATCATCTTGTAGCCTGAAAAGAGGCACTTTTCACATATCTTTCAATTGCACCAAATCCAAGGATGATGTCGCATGAACTACCCATTTCCTTTGACAGGTCCAGAACAACTTTCAGTTGTGGGGTCGGGTCTTCGTAGAGCATGTATAATGAGGATATTAGTAGTGGTGTACCACTACTACTACTACCTCTATCCAGCTTTACGGTTGTGATGTCTTCTTTACTGAAACTAGAAAGAAGAATTTTCGCAACTATACAGGTCCTTATCTTGTCTCCAGTTGTGGAGGAAAAACCTGTATATTTCTTGCAGTTCAGCCCGAAAATCCTCACCGGAAACCGGCTTCAGTACATCAGAGGCCTTTTGTGAAGGGTTCTTTAGTCTAGTCTCCTTTGATACCATAAGTCCAGTCGTCGCCCTTTTTTGAGGCCTCGACTGGATTTTGCATGCAGAGAAGTGGTGAATCTGCATGTGAAAATCCTGCATATAGGGAGTTTCTTGGTAATGCGTTAGGCTATGTTCTCTCGAACTTCGGGATAGTCTTAATAAACTACAGCTTCTTATATGTAAGCTTTGATGGACCCCAGCGACTTATCGACTACAGTTTTTATTCCTCATCTCCTTGGATTTGGCGCTCTTGCAATCGGGAGAGCTTAGCGGCATTTCTATTTTATCAATGGAGATGCCGCTCTGTCCTCCTACTAACTCCATTGCTTCCCGTCTTAAGAGTGTGGGCTTATCGGTGTTTACCGACGAACTAATATTGCTGCCACTGGGACTATACAACGCGACTTTCTTGGGAGTCAACTGCTAACTAGAGACCAAAAACTGAAATACCTCTTCCCCATCAGAGACCTCAATATCAAATTTGTAGATTCCAGCCCTATCCCCTTTACCCAATACGAAATACAGGGCGAGATGACAAAAACTGCAACCAACTTCAGACAACTTCAGATAAAACATTCGCTGTCCAGCAGTTTATCTGCCAAAGAGATCAGCTAAAAATATGCACCTTCGGTTGGCCACCAGAACTCAAGCACCGGCCATAGTGATGGTGTGGGCCGCCATAACAGAGCGGAGAGCCGATGGTTGCTCTCCGCTCGTATTAATCAACCGTGGCATCAGACTAAATGCCAAATATTATCGGGAAAATATTCTGGAGGGTGTACTAAAACCTTGGGTCCGCAGACCTTGCACATTCCAACAGGACTCAGCACGCGCCACCCAAGAATGTTTACAAAATGAGGTTCCTCGCTTCATTAGCAGCGCACAATGGCCACCAAAATCTCCGGATACCAATCCGTTGGACTATTGTGTATGGAATGTTTCGAATAGCAAGGTTGGCACTAAAAAATACCAAAGTGTCGGTCACTTGCTTAAGCGCTTCGCCGGGAATCGGCCAAAATATAGCAGAGAAATATTCGGGCAGCTTGTGGCGGTTTCATTGGCCGTTTGAATGGCATAATTCGTGCCAAAGGTGACCAATTCGAACAAATCTAAATTTATTCTAAAATTTGATGCTAATTCCACATTTTTGCTCTCATGGTTAAGATCGTAAATGGGCCATGTCGGTCCACGTTTTCGTATAGCCCCCTTATAACGGTATCTCTCAATATTCGGTATTTCAAAGATTTTAGCCACATTATTTACCGGAATCGTTTCAAATTTCGTATTTTAAGTTCGTAGTGGGTACTAGAGCCTATGACAATATTTTTTGTATGCAGGTCCACGGCTTTGTATAGCCCCCATATAACCGTAGCTCCCTATATTCGGTATTTTCATGATTTTAGCTACATTATTTACCGGAATTATTTGTGTATTGGAAGATGTTAATGAGCACTACAACCTATGTCAAAAAAATTCGTTTGGAGGTCCACGTTTTCGTATAGCACCCATATGACTGTATCTCCCGATACTCGGCATTTTCATGATTTTTGCGACATTGTTTACCGAAATTATTTCAAATTTCGTATTTGAAGTTCGTAATGGGTATTACAGCCTATGTCAAAAATTTTCATTTGGAGGTCCACGTTTTCGTATAGTCCCTATAAAACGATTTTCATTTAAGTGGTAGTTTTCGGAATATTGGACCGTTTTCCCTTTAACAAATTCCCAAATTTCTTTAAATAATTCTGTGCATTATCTTCCAAGTCATACAGCTTAGCATCATATTGCCATAAAAAATTGTGATACAAATTATTCTTAAAAATTCAAAACGCTCCTCAGACGCTATTTAGTTTAATTTTCTAAACACATATAACGGTTATTGAACCCGACCAATTCAATTGTATTGAATGTGTTCCTCTTTGTTGCCACCTACTTTCCCAAACATTTGGTTAGCCAGTTATTCGTTTTTTTTTATCTATTTTCCTTTAACATCTTTTTTCTTCAACTTCTCTCATTTTTTTTGTCTGTTTGTCTGTCGGCCGCTCCAGACCTCCAGCAATGGCACAATCGCAGCAGCTTCCTGCAACAACAACAGCAGAACAGTGTCGAGGACTTTACCAATTCAAGTGGCGCCCATTCGGATCGTTATGGTCAGGATTTCAGTTTGTTCAGCGCTTATGCAAATAATAAAACATTTATGAATTCGCTGAGTAATCAAATGGTGAGAGACGAGCAGAATTACACCGAACCCAAATATTATTTAGGTAAGCCATATAAATACGTAAATATTGTTGAGTGGCGGGGAGGGGGAAAAGAGGTAGCTTTCCCCCCTCTTCTGAGACTGCCGCAAAAACAAAAAAATAAACGACAACACAAAATCTGAAATTTATTCATGCAAAAGCAAACGAATATTAATATTTACCCAACAATTGGTTGCTATTCTGGTTCTCTTTGTTGCTTTCATTTCCATGCGCCACTTGAAGGTGATTTAATACCCGGCACTTACTGTTCGCGCATCTTCAGCGATTGCGACAAAAAGGCTTGTCGCCTGCAATCGCCCAACTATCCCGGCATTTATCCACGAAATTTAACGTGTTATTTTGCAGTACGACAGGTAAGTGAAATGTGTGATTTTTATCTGAAAAAATATATATTCTATTTAAAAACCAATAAAGAAGGTCTTAAAGACGGGCGGGCCGAATTTATGATACCCTACACCACTTTGGATATTTAGTATAGCTCCCATAACAAAATAATTTATTTGAAGCAGATCATACCACCTATCAACATTTGGCTTTAGAGCAGTTATAGTTTGGTTTCAGAGGGAACTAATATTTGGAAGGCATATCCAATTCTGAATCGATTTTCACTAAATGTGAGGGGGACATTTTAATATTTTATAGCAAACTAGCTGAACCCGGTGCGCTTCGCTACCCCTTTTGATTTTATATGCATTCAAAATTTTATTTACGAATATGATGGTTAAAAAAAAAACAAAAATTATTGCACTACTTTAATGCGTAAATAACCAAAACCATTAGAAAAGCAGTAACATGACATGCATACGCGAAGGGTTTGTCCTTCGGATTTATTTATTTCATAGCAAATACCAAGCGTGCAGTAAACTGCAATCTTTTGAAGTTGAGTGGCATTTCTATTGCAATTAGTGAATTCGAGATAGCAACATACTTCGCCGTAATAAGCGTATTTCATATTAATCGTTGTGTTGTTTTTTAGTGTTAGCCTAAGGCGTTGTGGGTCAATGGTTCTTATTAAAATCATATCCCAATCTGATCCGATTTAAATATAATTTTAAAAAAATTACTTTGAAATTGAAATTGGTGCGTCAAATATGTGAAATCGGCCGATAATATATATATGGGAGCTATATCCAAATCTTAACTAATTTCCAATTAATTTGCCACATTTATTATTGTAACCAAATTTCGCCACACATTCTGAATTTGATTGGTATCGGTCATATATATCATGTTTGGTGCATAACATGTATGAAATCGGCCGAAATATATATGTTAGCTATATCCACATCTCAACTGATTTCAATATAATTTGGCAGTTTTTTCTGGTGCCAGATTTTGTCTCTCTCGCTTTGGGTGCATCAAATATGTGAAATCGGCTGAGTATATATATGGGAGCTATAATCACATCTGAGCGTATTTGAATATAATTTGTCAAATTTATTTTTGTACCAAATTTAGCCACTCATGCCGAATTTCATTGGAATCGGAAATACGTATCGTGTTTTGTGCATCAAATATGTGAAATCGGCGGAAAATATATATGGGAGCTATATCCAAATCTGAACCGATTTTAATATAATTTGACTAATTTATTTTCTAATCAAAATCCCGTTACATATTCCAAATTTCTTTGGAATCGATCGTGTATGGTGCATAAAATACATGAAATCGGTCGAAAATATATAATAGAGGTATATCCAAATCAGAACCGATTTTAATATAATTTGACAAATGTATATTTGTTTTAATTTCCGCTACACATTCAAAATTTCATTAAAATTAGAGATACATAGCGTGTTTGGTGTATCAAATACATGAAATCGGTCGAATATATATATGGGAGCTATATCCAAATCTGAACCGATTTCAATATAATTTGGGAAATCAATTTTTTAGATAAAATCTATCACACGTTTCAAATTTCATTGAAATTGGGGATACAGAGCGTGTTTGCTGCATCAAATGCTTGAAATCTGCCGAAAATATATATGGGAGCTATATCCAAATCTGAACCGATTTCAGTTTAATTTGACAAAATCATTTTGGCTCCCTATTCCGTTACTTATTTTAAATTTCATTACAATTGGAAATACATATCGTGTTTGGTCCACCAAACACATGAAATCGGCCGAAAATGTATATGGGAGCTATATCCAAATCTGAACCGATTTCAATATAATTTGGGAAATCAATTTTTTGGATAAAATCTATCACACGTTTCAAATTTCATTGAAATTGGGGATACAGAGCGTGTTTGCTGCATCAAATGTTTGAAATCGGCCGAAAATATATATGGGAGCTATATCCAAATCTGAACTGATTTCAATATAATTTGACAAATTTATTTTCGGATCAAATCCCGTCACACATTCCAAATTTCATTGGAATAGAACATTCATATTGTGTTTGAGGCATCAAATGAACGAAATCGGTCGAAAATATATATGGGAGCTATATCCAAATCTGAACCGATTACAATATAATTTGGCAAACTTATTTTTGTTCCAAATTCCGTTACGTATTCCAAATTTGGAGACTGTATCTTCAACCAATCAATAGATATGTGCATATAAAATCTAAATTTTTGGGAGGTACCTCCGATTCTGATGCTATATCTCCAGTTCCAAGTGAAAATTCAAAAATGTATTTAGCCTATGTTACTTTCAGGTGATGTTGCAGTATATATGGAAATTTTCAGGAAAATCTATTCAGCGGTTTTCGAGTCCATAAATTACAAACAAACAAACAAACATACAAACATTTTCCTCTTTTATAGATATAGATAACATTGTTATTGAGTGCATGATATCACTTCGAGAAGGATTTTATTAAAAAACCAGTAAAGAAAGTCGGGCAGGCGGGCGGGGCCGACTTTATGATACCCTACACCACTTTGCTAATTTAGTAGAGTTGCGCATAACAATTAACAGTTTTTATGGGAGAATTCAATCATGCACGCTATGATTATAATTATAATTTAAAGTTCAAAGGACTAAAAATGCCGAAGCATTTTTATCTTTTAAATTCGGACTTGTATTGCCCATTTGGTGCACAATTGATTTGAAATCGGATAAAAATATATATGGGAGCTATATCCAAATCGGAACCGATCTCGATAAAATTTGGCTAATATATTGTTTTTGATATATTTCCCTGAATATCGTTGTTACGGAGCGCATATTACGGCTGTGGGTAACAAATATAACAAATCGGATGAACAGTATATATGGAAGCTATAGCTATATCTGAACCGATCTTCACCAAATTTGACATACTAGCTTCTAGACTCAATTCGGTCATATGTGGCAAATTTCATCAAATTTGGCAAAAATTAGACGTTCATTGCACAATCAAAGGTAAATCGGACGAAGTTATATATGGAGCTATATCCAAATCTGAACCAATCTCGATAAAATTTAGGAAATGTATTTCTGAGCTATATTTGATATATTTCCCCAAATATTGTTGTTACAGAGTGCAATATTGTATTTACAGCTGCGAAGGACAAAATATCACAAATCGGATGAACAATATATATGAGAGCTATAGCTATATTTGAACCGATTTCGATCAAATTTGGCATACTTATTTTCAGGCCTAAATTGGTTGAATATGCAAAATTCCATACTATTCGGGCTGATATTACACGTTTGGTGCACAATAAAAGGCAAATCGGACGAAGTTATATATGGGAGCTATATCCAAATTTTTGACGATTATTTCCAATTTCAATAGGGTTCGTCCTTAGGCCAAACAAATGATTTGTGCAAAATTTCATCTGGATCGGGCAGTAAATGCGACCTGTATTTTGTTTACAAAAATACATGAACAGACGAACGGACAGACAGACGGACGGATGGACGGACGGACATGCATAAATCGACTTAGAATGTGTTTCTATGCCGATCATCAAAAGAAACTATGGTTCTATCTCGTTTCCTTCTCCCTGTTACAAACAAATGTACAAAGACATAATACCCTGACCACCTTGTGGTGTAGGGTATAAAAAGAAAATGGGGGGAACTATGGGAAAAAGTAAAGCTATTTATTATACCCTCAGCCATTTGGCAAGAGAGGATATATATCGTTTGGTACGGCCAAAATGTGACTCATCGGAATATCGATTTTAGATCCTAGGTCTATTTGCACCAAATCTGTTTCAGGATATTTCGATCTAGGGGTGTCCATCCGTGGGTCCGTCTATCTGGCTAGTGCACACGATAACTCCCGAAAGGAGAAACCGATTTTCTTCCAAACTTGGTACATTGTAGTATTATTGTGAAACTTAGAGCGAGTTCGGAGTTGGGCTATATCGGTCCCCTCCTTCTGGTACCTTCCCCACAAAATGTCAAGATTTTCAAGGAAAATAATTCACTTTACAGTACAAGACCGGATCATTCAATTTTGTGCAAATTTTTCAAATCCGAATATTTTTATAAGCGCTAAATCACGTCTGAAAATAGACAATATTGGCCCACTCTATCAAGTACGTCCCCCACAAAGAGTCAACATTTCGAATAATTATATCTGTTATATAACGTGAAATTTGAGTCCAATTGTCTTAAAAAGTCGTGCATCTCAATATTTTGGTATAAAAAACCAATAGAACGGACCACTACCTTTGGTAATGCCCTCACAACAGGCCAAATTGTTGAATAACCCTGAAGTTCATAAAACGCGAAACTAGCATCCGATTGTTTTTAAATTCGGCACATCGTAAGATTTCTACCAACGCAAGATCTGGTGTGGTGATAGGATGTATCGGAACACTTTTACCTTTTCGGAAAGAATAATTGGATAATGTTTATCTTGTACACCAAAAAATATTCAAAATTTTTCGTTTGAAGTTTACCGAGGAGGATATTAAAAACAAAAACAATTGCACAATGGACCCACAACCATTTTTCCTGTTCAAAAGTATTTCAAAGTCTCCATATGTAGACCCTGGAAACCAACCAAGTGACATTAATATCAAATGTCTAAACTTCGATTTAATTCCTGTACCCAATACCAAATTTAGTAACATTTAGTATACAGGGTGAGATAAAAATCTGCAACCATCTTCAGACCGCTGTCATTTCTAAGTCACTCGTCCAACAGCAGTTAAAATTATTCCAGTGGCAGCTCATTATATTGTTTACAAGCGTACAAAAGCATTTTGGTGAGAAGCGTGATAGTGCGATTTCTTTATATTTGCCTAGAAAACCACAAGTGGCTATCGTTAGAGCACTCCAGCATTTAAATGTGAATAAATCGTTTGTGTCTCGTAACATCGCTCGTTACCGTGATACTGATAGCATAGCCCGACGTCAACCAAGTGGTCGGTAGAGAACAGCAACATCAGCAGAAATGG